ACTGCGTAGACATAAACATGTTACTGGTCGTCCGCTCCGGTTTTTACCGTAAAACTTACTGTTCATCTGTCGAGCTTATTTCAAAATATAAAATTCAAGAACCAAGGTTGGAGTCAGAATCCTTGTCTAAGTCTGAACCAGCTAAAATAACGCGGCGTTTGCGGTTGCGCATATTAATCGTGGTGCTAATTACTGAATGTCGCGAACCGACAACCCCCCTCCCCTCGCGGTTACCTTGAGGAAGGAAATGCTGACTAAGAATCGTACGCACCGTCGGTGTGGGCTTGCTGTCTATCCAGACGGAACAAAAGGGACCATTATGGTGCAGAACGAAACCCTGTGGGGGTGAGACTGTTGTGTGCCATTATTCGGTCTGATCTACGAAATGGTGTTGGTGCTAAATTCGTTTGTAACGTAACAAATTACAGTTGTGACAAACATGGCAAAGGTGCCAAAGCAAACATGACCAGTGTGCCCGTCCAGTCTTTCCGTGGTCTCGCTTGCCAAGAACGTGGGGAACTGGGTCTCAACTGAATATTTGCTACACGTTTCCTGGCACAGTTCCAAAAGAATTGTGCTCGCGTTCTCGAAAATAATCGGAAAATAAGTATCACGCACAGGAAAATAAGATGTTTTCAGTTTGTTCAAAGTGTCTTGGTGCTTAGTTAGTCCCTCAGTAGTCATGCTTTTGGTTTCGGTATAAACCCACCAAGTGTAAGTGTGGTGTTCTCCGAGGCTAACGATTATAACCATTTTCTACCTGGGAGAAAGAACACAGGCTATCGGTCTGCTTGTTCTAAACTGGACATGCACAGACGAGAAGAACAGGGGTGTTTTTTATGATTTGCTTGAGATGAAACGCTCAGCCTTTTGTTCTTTTGCAATACTGATTCTGATGGTGGATGGTGGATGATGGATGGTGGTCCGATGATGCCTATGTCAAACAAAAAAATCGCCAACTTCGTTCGCAATGAGCTGTCGATTGTACTGTCGGTTTTACTTCTGGTAAAGCGTTATTTCAGGTGCTAGGAGAGTTCGAGTTGCGTTTTTGAAATAGACACCTCATGATTCTGCTGAGGGTACACACCTGGGTATTACTGATAGCAGAGATGTAGGCTATACAGTCAGTTGTTCGTTCATAGCGCTTTCTGAAGCAATTGGATTTAGCATTTCCTTTAAACATCGGAAGGCCTCTGAACCATGACAATTCCTGGTCATTTTTGAACGTGAAAGAGAAAATGCAAGGTATTTTGCTGCGCGTGGTAGCTCCCTAATGACCCCCACATATGCTCATAGGGTGAGAAATATGTTACTCTCATTCTCCCTCCTCAAAACTAGCTGAAACAGCGTTGTCGTCATACAACACTGTCGAGTTAAGATATGTTGGGTGGGGTTATGCAAATGTTATCGACACTTATGAGCGGTTAGCACTGGATGAAGCCGAATCCGTCGAAAAGACCTAACCAGCTGCAGGTTCTAAAGGTATGGACGATGTAGTAGCTTAGTCATGAAGCTCTACAGTTCTCCAACTTTGTTAAATCACACTATGAGATCAGAGGAAGCCGATACACTGCTGTTAGCGATTGTCTTTCGTATGGCTCATTTGTAACTAGAACACAACCGATATGCAAATTTGAACTAATTAGCAGGCTTATTTCATATAATTATCATACATATCCAAAGCATTCCTCCGCCAGTCTGTTGCAAACCAGTGCGCCTTTGATACCGTAGGAACCGCGAGATGGTCACACGAATCTGAAACAAAACAGACAGACTTCCGCCGGTCGTTCCTTTTGTTTTGTTTTGCTTGAAGAACGGTATGTTGAGAAGAAACCGAACACCAATTACTTAAAACGAAAGAATTTCCAGACTGTCTGGTTGTGTGTGCATCTTTTTCTAGTCCGTCTTTTCTTACGTTCATTTGCATTCCGAAAGCTGAACCTTGGATGCAGTATGCTGGGTGGTTCATTTGCACCATCAAAGGTACACATACTGGCGGCTAAACACCAGGGAGACCAAAAACTTCACTTTGCCGCCCACACAAAACAGGCAGAATACGTAAAACAGAAGGGCGCTTTGTAGTTTATTTTGGCAAACTGGTTTATGATTGAGCCTCTTTGAGACTGGCTTTCATGCCAACGGGCATTTACCATGCCCCATAAACCAAAAAACCAATTTGTCGTGCCAACGAACTCGGTAAGTGAGGCAGTAGTCTGGGCGATCGCGCGACTGAGTGATTTCCCGGGAAGCTGTTCGTCCAGAACTCTGGCGTTCCCCCTGTAAGTTAGTGCCGTTACGATGTACATAAATGTCCCGTCCCCTCAATCCAGACTGATTGACTTGCGCACGAGCATCTATTGACTTAGTGTTCGCGTTGCATCAGTGATCAATGCGTTGTATCGACCAGTCGATTCGACTTAAACTGAGTGACATATACTCATGGGTTAATCAATTCCAGTGTTGTAATCAGTTGTAAATCGGATGAAGTCAGTTACGAAATCAAAGAACTGGTCCCCCGAAAAATCGGGTTGTAACGGTTGGTTGTTTGCTCCTCTGTATTTAGAAACCCAACACACGGGTGGTTGCTCTAACCAACAGCTGATCACTTCTACTTCTCTCAACAGCATACAAGTGTAGGACTGGACGATGAACAACTAATTTTAGCAGGCAAACTCTAGCTTAAAATCTTGTGGCTCGTCGAACCAGAAGTTGTTAGTGCCCCACAATCTGAACATCATGAAGATTGAAAAACCGATACGCTTAGTGTCCAGATATAACACACCAACAAGCTCTTCAAGCACTTGGAGTTCCATCACACACAAAAACTTGATACGTCAAGAGAGTGCACTTCTTCGGATTAGCTGACTGTCGAGGTTTTTGTGGCAAGCAACCACTTGCCGTTAGAGGAGAGGCAGATATAGTTTCTCATGAAATAATTATCAGGCGTTCATAATTTTTGCAGCGAACAGTTGCTTCACAATCACCGGATCTCACGGTCACTGAGTGAGTTTGGGTTCAAACACTTGAGCGATGAATTTTTATGGACGCAAATTCAAGCTAATCCATTAGGATGGCTACACACAGTGGTCAGTCAAACCTATCATCATCTTCACCTTTTCATCAGCGAAACCTGTAATATCGTCACCGGAAACCGGAGGTCTTCGCACGTGTGCTAAGCGGATGTTTGTACTACACACAAAATCGAACCTGATAGGAGACGGTTGAACAATGCACACTGTCACAGGAAAATAACATTCAGTTTTCCTTAGGTGAAAGGAAACCTATTCAAACAGGGCTCCGACAACTTGCATGAGGTCATAACAACAGTCAGTTTGACCTTACATCAGCTGTGCAACCACCCGGTAAATAAACAAGCACCACCACTGCTGAAACCTCTTTTGGTGGGAAGGGGTTTGTTTGGCGTCTTGATGCACTCGGGAAATAAGCGATATGAAATGCGCAAGTTTTAAATAGTTCAAGGCAACATTGTTCAAAACAACAGCCCTAACCTCCAAATCTACCTGGCGCTTATGTGGTCAGTGCTGATACGAGTGACGTAATTGTTATCTCTCATCAAACACCTGAGAAAAACGGTCTGTTCTTCGCAGACTTTTTAGACCAAGTATGCTGTTTGACACAATGGTACTGCCTTCGCATCGAACGACATTAGCCTGGCTTGCATCTTTTCAAAGCCTTACATAAAGACCGTATCATAAAGTTCGCTACCTGTCGAAGGGAGTCGAGAAGAAATGTTATCCATTAGGTAGACCGTTTGCTCAAACCCTAGTCGACTCTCAGAATACAATACAAATCTGACTTGAACCAATATATTTTTTTTCCCAGAATCTTTTTAATTCTGTTCTCTAAACGCCGTCCGTTGGTTCTCAAGCTTAACCATACCGGCCTGGTGCTGTACATCCGGTCGCCTAAGAACATCATAAACGAGAGTTTCAGCTGGGTTCCGTTCCAGATGAGCAGCCCATCAAAACCAAGTTGATATGGTCGGGCTGTATTTATGTCGAATGGGATGAGTTGAACCAAGTGGTTAGAGTGCGAATTCACTGATCGAAAGGTCCGTGGTTCGAACCTGACCTCCGCCTCTCGACTTCCCCTGTCTATACTTAGGTGACCTGGCAGTATCCCAGCCCTCGTGCTTTCTTCGGGTGGCACGGCAGCTAGGCACCGAAAGTGTGTATCAGCTGATTATCAAGATTATGATCGTTCTGTGCCATCTCATTGATTTTTCGACTGAAGATTCGTCATGCTTTAGTTAGTTCTAAGATTCGGGGTATCAAACTCACACACACTCGTTTGCCGTGACTGTATATATGGACCGGAGTTCAATAATCGATTACCGGTAATAGCGCAACTCATGTTCAATTTCTACACCCCGGGTTGGGACAGACCAAGTGAATATTGACTGAATGTGAGGATTGTTTGCACAGTTAAGCGGTATCCTACTTCAGTATCCAACAGTCCCCTTGATATCGAGAAATAACCATTCGAATTATTCTAACCAGAGTAAAATTGCAAAGTGAAACGTTCACGCGAGACAACGTGTTTATGTTGCCTGCACACACACACACACACACACACGTATACATACGCAAACGAAATAGAGAATACTGGATGGTCTCAGTTACACGGTACTGCCCCTACAGTGCCAAATGCACAGTGAACATAAATCTCCTGGGAACGAAGCATTGTACACACGACCGACCGACCCGCCGACCAGGTGAGTGAGAGAGCACAGCAGCACAACAAAGGACCGGTTGAAAAGGCCGCGGACACAAACATCCTACGGTTGTGCCGCCTATTGATCTTGTAAAGATTTAATGCTCTCGTATCACACGCGCGCACACACACACACCGACATGCGCACACCCTACAGTAGATTGGAGTTCATTTGGTTCAGATATTTTTGCAATTGTGAACGGATTCAGGAGCAGCACGCTGCAAGCACACACAAGCACGGAAGCGCTTAAAGCATTCACAAACAAATGCACACTATTCTTGATGGTGCTGCTGTTGGTGCTGATTACGATACGCAGCTGGACGAGTTCGAAGGGGTGGTGCAATCGGCGCAGCACAGAAATGGATATGCCGTAGTTTTCACTGAAGTGGCGGGAGCTTCCGGTCAACATGATTTATTCGCCACTGCTGTTGCTGCTGCTGCCGTCGCCGATGCGCCGCCATTGGCGTAAGCCAATCGTGGTACACAGCTGTCTTTTGATGGAGCCGACCGTTGTGTTGTGCTTTTTTCTGACTCTTGTTGCGCATTTTGGCGAACGTGTGGTGTGATAAAGGTGGTAGCGCGAATGGGTGAGGAAGGCGGGTAAGATAAACGGCGTTTGCCATTGGAGCCGAAAAAGAGTCGGTGGCGGCATTTTAGATAAAGAGCCTTGTGTGCACACACACACACATTCATATACACGCACAAGCGCATGCAAGCCAAAATCTTGGCTTTACTGTCAAAAATTCACGCCATAAATAACCAGCTTCCCTCTGGCGTGCGCTCACTTTAAAGCCGGTGCTGGTCTCTTGCTCTTGAGTCACTTTGTATGCAGCAGTAACTGGCCCTCGTCTTATCAATCTGATCTATCCCAGCGGGTTTCACGTCCTTTTTTACACCGCCAGCGCTTCGCCATTTCGTGTATTGGACAGCCTCGATGTTATCGGCAAACTTCAAAGTGGACACCGACTGGAAGCAGGGCTGTCCGGCCAGAATCTATTCCATGAGTTGATATGTACAGTTTATCGGGTATTTCGGAAGCACAAGTGAACTTCCAGAAATCACTGAGTTAAAACGTGTGGTTGAACCGGCCACTGATGAATCCTTTTAACTAATCATCAGCAGTTAGTTGGATGTCTGAATAAAACAACTGACTATACCAAGAAGCACAGTTAGAAGCTCGATTAGTTCTGTTTTTGTTCTACATTGAGAAGCCGGATCCTACGCTTCAATGTAAGGATCCACTGAGATTTCACTTCATGTTTGTCGTAAACACGACATACACTACTCTACAACTGTTTTCAGAATGCTTCGAACACCGAACAACGCCTCATTTTCCTTCTATTGAAGCTGACACCGTTTACCGCAACTGACTCGTCTGATCAAAAATCGTAGCAATGGTTTTCATCACATGAAGCCAACAATTATCCAAAATGGCGCAGAAATAGTCCAAGCTTTTTCGGTTCCACGGGAATTAAATATTGATTTCTGTCATGTGACTCATTGTTACAGTTTATTCGCGTCGGTGGACCAGAGAGCTCCTCAGTTTCGAGAAGCCAACATGAAATGATCACACGGTACCGGACGATGCGTTAAACCGTTCGCTGAGATTTCTGTGTTCTTCAGCTAGCACATGACAACCGCACGTGTGGCAACGTGACAACCGTGACGATGCCACTCAGTGGGCATTGCTAAACCTCACCAAAATTTTCTTGTGAACGATACGAGGCTAAGAGACCATGGATCAACGAACCTCGAAGATGAGGGAATAGAAGCCTCATGTCGTTCACTAAACGATTAGCGGAAAGAGATAAATAGTTCAGGAACGCTCATATTAAACGTTCGAAGCAAGGAGAAGATGAACGATGGTCATCCTGACTCCGCCCAAGCACAACTGCTATCGTAGTGGAGACATACAAGGAACTCTCATTGTCAGACAGGCTGAAATTCACAACATTAAAAAGCAACGTGAAAACACGCCTCCGATACAGGCTCAGTACTGTCGTCCGGGTTAATACCTAGAGAGTTATGATGAATTTTAATGATAGAGTTATTGTGGGCTTTATTAGTTCCCCCAATATGCACACGAGAGTTGCCTGTATGCTACTGCGGTGGACCAAAACAGCATCCAGTCACGTGCGCATCCGCACTGAAATGTTTTACTGAGTTAGTCACACCAAACGACACACTTCTGAATGACAACGCTTCCGGGAACAATAAAATTCGTCCCTTATAAGTCATAACCGGTCATTCCAAACGAGCCACTACGATGTTTTTTGTCACTTGGTCCGACTGCACTTTTAGCAGTCCAGTTGCAGGTTGCTAGGCCACATGGACCGCGGGTGACATTTTCAGGCATTGGTTTGGTCTGGACAGCTAAACATGACGCTACAGTGGTTCGACCCAGAATGCAAAGTCACACACAGAGTACGGCCCCAATGAAATGTTACTGGACGATTTCGCCAGGTTCCGGGTCACAACAACCTGGGTGAAGACGATCAATTGAACAGTTTGTTGGGATTTGGGAATTTCAAAGAACACCGAAAATGATAACAAGGCCGAAACAAGCTCGAATCGGAGGGTTCAATAAGACACATAACCCTATATTGTTTCAGATACCGTTTGAACGTGCAGGCTAGTGGATGGTGCATCCCATGAGGATTTTCGGTGGCCTCTAGTCATCTTCCTAAATAAATATTTAATGATAGGTGGGTGTTCAGTTTTCCCTTTAATCGTAGGGATTTGTGAGGCGAATAACCGTAATCCTGCTTTGTATTATTATGGGATCTGCATTCGAAATGCATGGCTTGTCGACGCTTGGCGGAAGTTTAAAGATGGCTGCGACACCAATAATGAGGTCAATTTTGTGCGACAGCCACGTGACATTTTATTGATTCTTCAAAACACTTAGGTGATTAACCGACTAAAGGCCTGATCGGATGATTGAATGAAATAGGAATGCATTTCGCCAACTTGTACAATACATGAATGAACCGAAGGTAGTTGTCAGGACCGTACAAAGTAGAATTCTAGGCCAAATAGGAATAAATTTATTGATGAGTGAATAAGTTTTGCCATCTCACAGGGGTCCAAACTAAATAGCAGGACGTAACCGGTCTACAACCTATCATAGTTTACTCGACTAGATAACGTTTTTTACTGACGTAAGCGCATCTTTCACCACAAGATTACCCGTGGCTGCATTCCTCATGGCATGTTTCACATTGTCTGTCTACATCGAGCCCACAATGCACAGCGAAACAATGGCAGTTGTCTTCTTCAGCTACCGGGAAAATGACTATGTTTCCATTATTCATACTATTAGCCAAAATGGTTACTAAGCGGCTGCGATAATCAAACTAATCAATGAGTCTGAGAATCTCGATGAATCAATAACACGTGAGTGTCTGTCAATGATGTGATCGAATCATAACCAGAGATGTATATGGCCCAAGAATAAAATGTTCACGTCTTTTTTTAGTGTTGACTTGCTTCCATTACTAAGAAGGAGTATGTTATCTGATAAACAGAGTACTTATAATTAACAAATCAGTAGTGTCATCACTACAAGTTGTGTCTATGGATTTCAAATGCCTGTAGCAGGCGCGCCTAGACGGATAGGGAGAAAATGCGTTCAATACGGAGAGGAGTGATTGTCTTTTGTCCAACACAATAGGCTCTTCAGTTGTGATGCTGGAATGACTTATTTACGACTCATTTGTCTACTCAATGGTCCCTCTGGGGGGGGCCAATTGGTTCGATCAGTAAGTCATTACTTAAACGTAAAGAAAGCTGATTTAGCCGATATGATTAAGGTGACGATATTTGGTGCGTGTTTTTAACGCGGTAGTGCTTCCGAACGCCACATGCAGACCCAGACGGCCCGCTACTTTCTCGACCAATTTAGTTTGCTACTGGTAAAACGAGAATGGTCAATGAAGAAATCAACTGAGGCACACAGAATGGTGGGGACGGCTTTTGGGATCTAGTCTTACGGTTAACAGCATACCAGCAGGTTATGAATTAAACAGTTACTGTTTGTACTTACTCGATGACGGCGCACCGAAAATGAAGTACACGCCATTTTACGATCTTGATGATACAAGGGTAGTAATCAGGAACAGCAACTTACCAAATCCGAAGATTGGACTCAGTGTACAGTTGACATTTGTCTTCGGACAGCACAAGGCGTCTTCGTTTTCCCGACAAGTCCGGACCACGACCTCATTTTCCGAACAGGTTTTGCACGGGATGCATTTGACCGTATCACCCACGCTAGCGGACCAAAATCCAGCCGGACACGCTTGGCACTGAGTGTCGGCGTTCCATTCACATGACCTAGAGTAAAGGTCACGAAGTGAGTAGTGTGCGGTGTTAGTAAGGCAAACAGTTTTGTGATTAAAACCTCGCTAACGTAAATAAACGAGGTTTTATCAGCAACGGGTCTACTTTGGTGAAATAATCTCATTTGCATAACAATTTGGTTTTGATAAGAGACTCGCTTGGAATGCAGCTGAATCTCTCGTTTATGATGTTCTCAATAGTTTTCAGCAACCTTATGAGTAGTGCATCAGATCTACTTTAATTGTTATGTCGACGAAGAGTGACAACGAAATATCACCAAAAATATATGCATGGGATGGTGGTGAAATGTATTCAGTGAAACAAGCTTGTTACACAGTGAAGTGAATACAAACTGTCTCACTACTATTCGACCTAAAAGAGGAAAGGTTGATACGGTATTTTAATGCGTAGTCTGTGTTTGTGATATGATGGCGGGAATACAGGAGCAACAAATTTGTGAATCACGGAATATTTAGACCACAGTTGGAAAAAGGGATAACAGTAGATATGAGCAAAAGATGCATTCAAAGCTGGCTTTCAAATGTGGATAAGAATGGAAGTGCAGCCCGAAAAAAACACTGTTGTGATTAGCTTGCAAACGGGTAAAGAATGGAAATGTCGGGGTGGTAAAAGATACGACGGTTTTAGTGTGCAAACCACTTGGCTGGAAAGGTTATGGATAACCGAGTTATTCTGAGGTAGAAATAAAAACGCAGTTTGTGATCTTTTCAGACGGATCCCTCTGGATGTCAGCTGTGCATTTACATTTCAACTACAAAATCCAGTCCAATTCTCGCCACAAACTAGCAGAAGTTATTACACATTGATACAGTTCTAATCAAAGGAAGACCATAAAACTTAATGTTCTCCTCATGAGTAAGACAGGCGATTGTTTGCCCTGGAAATCCAGCACTGAGAGGAGATAAACGGGGAAATTGTACACGAAGATCATCAAGTTGTGTAATAACTGCACTGACTGAAACCATCGAACAGAAAGGGGATTGAAACGGTGACTCCGGTAGACTAGTTCACTCTGTAGTGGTGTGGCGACTGGGGCACGAATAGCAAGCTTGTTATATCTGCTGATTAGTCAATCTGTGGTATCTGCTGCTGACCCGCTCCAGTGCCTAATGCCGGAGGAAAAAGACTCACAGAACGGAACGCAACCGCTATATACCGAACAAACGAGTGTGAGAGCGTGAGTGCGTGCGAGTGCGAGAACAAAGGTTACAACGGACTTTCTGACATTGATCCTGGCTGCTTGATAGGCGCTAATGAGCACCCATCAACATCGACCGTGCCTCTATGAAAAGCCTGAACGCTGATCACATTCGATCGTGCTTCTGTGGCGTGCAAGAACACTCATCAATTTTTGCTGAATTGATTGAATGATTGACTGGCCTGGATGCTTGCCGGCTTTCCTGTTGAGTTTTTAGTGGAGCAGTAGGTTTCGGGCGTTCTGAGGTTGTTTTCAGGAATCTGACCTTCATGGTAAAGCTGAATCAGCTGTCTTGGTTTTTAAACCAATTTATATGGCGCGTTTCGGGATGCGCGGATTTCGCTCAAAATCCAGTGTGTTGGTTGGTTGGTGAAAATACCTTGAACGAAAATCTCAAGGGCCACATAGATAAGGCCGTGACGAAAAAGATAAATAATGAGCAATGAATCTACGACATTTCTACTTGCATCCGACACAAATACACGCTGATTGCTAATCCAGACAGCCTTTTTCTCAGGCTTCACCACCAGCAGAAGTTTTCAAGGTATACGCCAACATATTTCCTAAGGTAGTTGGTTCCTATATTTTCCACAACAATATCAGTAAATGGGGACGTCATTGGTGAATTGTCTGTAGAAACCAACGCACTTTACGCGTCTTAATTTCTGAAAGAGATTGCTCATGTTCCACCAACCATTTTGGGCTCCCGCTATAACCGGAACGGGCAATGTGCGAGAATACTGTACCGATGTAGGCTGTGTGCAATTTGCAGCATGGGGAGTGATCAATTTGTCTGCCTACTGACAACCTTCATTAGTAGTATGGATTAGGGAAGTTTACTAAGCGGCTGCCAGGCGCTCCACCCGATTAGGTACTGTCCGACATCAGCACATAACGACAACCCCTAATGCTCACCAACTGTTCATTCTCCACATTCAGCGAAGTATTGTCCAACTGCGCATTAGGCTCCTTTCTAGCACAACCCAGGGTATGAGCAGTCGGTCATACGTTCCAATAACCATAGCTTACCGCACGAACAGCTTTTTTATGAATACTAACCTTCTTATGATAACTCTTCAACTCTAGAGTACCCATTACGTGTATTCTGCACTAAGCCGTAATTTAATGCCCTAATTGACTTCTAACAATTTCTGTGGCGGCAGTTTTGCGCTCAGGCTGGATTGTCTGGTACACAATGGTCTGTCCTCAGACGCTGAAATAAATTTTGACAATGATGCAGTTTATGTCGCCCCTAAAGCAAAAATACACCCGAAGACCTAAGTAGAGTATTAACATCACTTTTTGTTCGGACTATGATATCGCAAGCTTCCAATCGGAAATCATTTTCGCACCAGATTGGGTTGAATTGAATTAGAACGACAGAGAGTTCGTTGAGTTGCCGTAGGAAGTGGTGGGTTGATGTAAGCTGAAGGTATACTAACGTTTAGTCCGGTTGCAAATGAATCAGCTACTGATCGAACTATCACGTTGGCTAACCGATAAACAAAATGAAAGAATACGTTCGCAAAAGCATGTTTTCTGTAACCAGTTGAGAAAATTGCAATCCAACGTCTCAACACCAGGTGTGAAAACCAAATGCTCTGTGTGGGCAGTGTGCATGCGAGAAATTTTTAAAGTCAACTGATCCTGTTCTACAGGACAGTCATCCAAAAGTGTATTTTGGTGCCCCAGTCGGCAATCTACAAACAGTCGATTGAGTGCAGTACAGCCAGCGGATTTTTCGAAGGTTAATTATGGCTTCAACGCAACACATATTGGAAAAAAACTCAACCAACCAAGACCAGAATATCAGTGTAACGGTGGATGCTACTGACGGGAGCATGCGAGTAGTATGTTCTCTCGTAAATTCGCTTCGCGTTTCTTGAAAAGTGAGGTCTGTTACGGAATTTGTGGAGTCGCTTTGTAGCACTTGCTTGCACTTGAGTAGCAGTCAATGAATATCCAAAAAAATTCAGGAAGCCGCATTAAAGAGTAGATAGATGTTCAGTTTTTGTAAATAAGATGCAAATGAGTTTTGCTTCCCTGTCCAATAGTCTGTAACTGGTCAGTTGGTATTTTCTTATGAATAAATCCGCAGTGAATGCCTTCTCCTTTTCACCAGGTATGAAAACTAAACGCTCTGCATGGGCAGTGTATATCCGAGAAATTTCTAAGGTCAACTGATCCTGTCATACAGGACAGTTGTCCAAAACTAAAGTACGCAAGTAACCAATCAGTCGATTTTAGGCCTATCTTGGCCATCCGCACGTAAATATCAGGAGCGATCAGCTGTTACAAGCAAGTGACGTAGTCCACTGCAATCAAAATAAGACCTGCCGCTTGTTAACTGTCCTGGTGTGCAATCTTAGTTGTTTCACCTTCACAATGCACTAAAGTTGGTGGTGTACGCAAGAATATGTTAGAAGGAAGTATGAATTGCAGGTCAAATGAGGGTTTTGATGCATGAACTCATGCAGTCCTCCAGCTTTCTAGTACCATATGTATATATATATATATATATACTTGTGGAAAAATCAAGCCACTGAAACACCGAGCACAAGGTGTGGAAAACTGAAGTAAAATATTGCTCAGTTCGTGAGAAACTGCATTCTTCTCATGTGAAGACTCTTCTGAGACGATGACAATTTATTTCGTTCCCAAGGGAAGATGACTACCTGTAACATGGCGTCCCAAAACTTTCTCTTCTAATGCAGACGAGATTATTAAAGAATTTTTCACTGTTGACGAACTGCGCAGCTTGCTGGCGAGTGCATCACACCAGAAGTGAGTTTATCGGGGAGAAATATAATTTGTACACTATTTCCACTATCTTGGAATTGACACCATTTAATTCACAGAGAGAACCTAAAGAAAGACAAGGCCACAATGCCACAATAGCAAGAGCACTGACAGGGCATGTTTGCAGGACACATGTCTCTATTTAGCTGTGCGATCAGGCCCAGGCATAACCGGTGCCCAATTTGATGGATATAGCAACGAGCTTCGTTCGTGGACTATGTAGCCAGCTTGCTCTGATCAGAATTGCACATGCATCCATACCCTTTTGAAGATTATTAAGGGTGGTGAATGGTGTACTCGTTCAGCTACCTACACCTACGCCACCCGAAGACAGCACGAAGACAGAGGTACTTCCAGCCTGCCCAGACCAGGCCAGGAGCAGCTGAGATGCACAGGTTGGGTTCAAACCACCGACCCTACGGTCAGTAATTAGGTGCTTAACCACTGAGCAACCTCTAGTTGGCCGACTGTCAACTATATACACATGTATGCACAGGGCAAACAAATTTCCCAAGTAGGACGTAGCGAGCGCAAATCGATAATCTACAGTGGCAGTTGAGCTTATTTTTGGTTACTGTGTCCCTGCTATGGTCTCACTGGTTCACTCACCGATATTTTCATCAAATTGCACACACACAGACACACACTGGTTTAGGAAGAGGCCACAAGATGTTCTATAACTTTTCAGGAGGGCTGAGCTAGTAAGACTAAAGTGGGTTAAACAATATAAAACTCATTTCTTACTTGATGACACCTTCGTTTGGTTTGCAGACCGTACACGCCTTGCAGGTCTGGTTGTTTACCGACATATAGTAGCCTTTCATGCAACCACATTCTGTGTCTGTGGTTGGTGTGCAAACAATCCGCGTGGTAGCCAATGGATGGATCTAAAAGAGAAAGCAACAGCTAGAATTATCTTTCCTTCCGTCAGATTATCAAGATTATTTTTCATATTTTTTATTACTATTATTATTACATAATTTATCCTCTAATATTTCTTCAAAAACAAGTACCGGTAATGTTGGAGTTCAAGTTCCCAAGTACATACACATTTTCACAAACGCAGCACTTGTTGTTTCCTCCCATATGGTTATCCTTCATAATGAGAATGTTCCACCTACATTTTGACTTGTCCTCAGCCTGTGCCAGAAACAGCGCTGAGGAGTATTTATGTTCGTTCTTACTTCGATGGATGCTTTAGTTGGAGATAGGCCAAAATCGAAGCCAGAATGATAGAAAATTGTTCAAGCTTCACCTTCTAGCAATTAAAAAAATAGCCACAATCAATATTTCTCCTAAACGTTATTGTTCAGGAGAAATACTGGTGGCTCAAGTCCACAAAAGCAATACTTGTTCCTCTTTATATCCGGGAAGAGGTGTTCATTTGCATGAAACATCTGTTTGTCAGACGTTGAACTCCGATGTTTTGAACCAGACGCCGACAAGGACATATATACCATGCGTATGCAATCTTGAGATTATACTGCCGCTTCCCCCAAGACGCAGTAGCTCAGTCTTTTGGTGACAAGCAAACATTTACGTAGAGTAGTAATAACAGAAATCACATGGATACCATGGATTTGAAAAGCAATTTTCGGCAGAGGGACAAATGAAACCATGATTACTCGCCAGGCGAATTTGTGGGCAAAACTTAAATGGCTTTAGTATCAAATGGTAAGGCGGAAAAACAGTAATTATCATACTCCATGATTTATGCGGTTGAACTAAACGACAAGGAAGTGTGTAAATCTCGAGTTTCCATTTCCACTTCGATAATGGTTTAAGATAGCAAAGTTGCTGAGTCCGCAAGACAGTACAGTCTGCCTTGTGTGACGCTAAAATTCTATTAGCTTTTTTACTACTCGCAAGTAGTTCAAAGGAATTTCTGAAAACAACCAGCATCCTTCATTTCCTGAAAATTATTGTCGGTTTGCTTGAAGGCGAGCCACTAAATTCTACTCTGTCTGTCTGAATCATTCGTCGACAGCTTCTGGGATTCCATATCAATCACTTCTATGGCCAATTGCATTATGATACCAGTTCTTCCTTCACACAGAACCTTTCGATGACTGTCCAGTATCCTTCAGCTACTGCAGTACGCCTCGGTCAAGATTGCTTTAATGTACAGCTTGCCTTTACGTCTTTACCCACCTTTAATAAAATCATTATTGAAGTTGCTTGACTTGCAAACGCTAAGCAGACACTGCACTAGGGTCGCGGTCTTTCTAACCTCACAACAACTATGTATTCAACGATATACATTCATCGGTACAAGATTTTACCGAGCATTTTGAAGCACAACGTATGAACTAACGGGATATCACAGCAAAGGTGAAGACTTATTTCTTGCGTGAATTACTGATAATGAATTACTAATTAATGATTCAACTTTCCATTCACTCCAATTCAAGTTGAATTCCCTCCAGAGTGAAGACTAAAATGTCACAGAACGTCCAGCAGGTGAATTTTACAGCTTGGGTCGAGAAAAAAGGATTTTTAACCACTGAATAAGATGTCATTGTGCCAGCGTTTTGTGAATGCTAATCCCACAGTAGTAAGGAGACTTGTCTGTTCGATACCCTAGCCCCTGCGTTAATTCATCCAAGCGGCATCGAGAGCTGTGTGCAGCGGGCAGTCCAAAGTGGAGTTGGTTTATCTACAAACTTCGCGGAAAACTGTAATCGTACACTTCGAAGTCATTTGGCTTGACAAACCACTATTCGAATTAAGGTTCATCACGATAACTGACCAGAAGCTATTAGTTTTTACACACAGTGTAATCCATACGCCGTGATGGTGTTACTCTCAAGGACCACCCTCACTGTACATTGCTAGAGGGGACAACGCATGACAATTTCCGTACTTATTAAACCATATAATACTACGAGTTGACTCACATCTTGACATCTTCGGCACTGCTGGCATTTGAGAGTTGCACTGGTAGTTGGTGAAAACTCAACGCCTGGTTCGCATCCTATACATTGTGTATCATCGGTGTCCGTACAAAGCCGCAGCATTCCTGTGCCGGGCCCACACATTCGACAGCAGCGAGGACTACCACGAACCGGTGAAACAAATTCTTGCATGGGTCCCGGGCAAGTTTCCTGTAGGTTTTTGGAACGTGAGAGAATGCAGAGGATTAGTTTGCTGTCCAAGTATCATGTACAAGGAGTGAAACCAACGCCATATTCCCGTGTGTAGTCCAATACTTTCGATTCTGCTTTCACTACTGATAAGCTCGACAGTAGGTAAAAAATGGAACAACAGTGGCAGCCGCCAACTAAGTGAGTGAGGGCCTGTCACACGGCCAGTGTTCAGACTCATTAAATTCCTTATAAACCGACAGATTCTGAGTCGATGACGACCTCATCTATAAAGCTCGTCTATGTTGAGGCGCAACTACCAACCAATCAAAAACCATGGTAATTAGGCCAGTTACAGAAGTTCGTGGTATACATCAAGCCTGACACTCATTCTTCTAGCAGACTTCACATATCATGCACCGATTACATGTGGGTATTCATAAAAAACACGCCCATCCACGTAGTTGAGCTTTTTTATCCAACCTTGGGGGAAATGGAGGCAGGAAACTGTCCATACTAACGAAGTTAAAGAAAAGTTGGGTCGGATGGTCTGATAACGCTGAATTTGACGAAAAAGTGTCTTGTGTCTAGGCCATTCATCATTAAGGAGCGTTCCCTTATTCTCAACAAACTGCATTCTGAAAATGGAACTTGTGTGGGTTTTAGTAGGAATGACAAATGTAACGCAGTGATCTTCTGGGTTGCTTCGTCTTGACGGAACTGACACTACCGTGCCTTTTATGTAGTGAGGTCGTTGATCCATACCTCTACACCAGCCAGTTCACGTGCTTCTTTTCATTTCGCTGTAGCAACTGTCAGTCTTTCTAGCACGCCCGCAAATGTTCGAACTGCCTTGAAGTGGAACTCAATGTGAATAGACCATGACCTGATGACAGAACACTAATCGAATATAGAGATCCCAGAACCCTTCTGGAGAATAGGGCAATCGGTCACCATGTCGTCAGCGCACTCGGAAAGTAAGGCCCCACTTTAGTTTTTTGCTACTGGCAAATATCCTAGTAGTAAAAGATATCCAACCTTTTTCAACACCCAGATAAGTAATGGGAACGGTAGTGGCATTTACCCCATGAACACAGAAATCTCGTCTCTATTTCAACGTCACCTACAAACCTTTAAACGTATCCGTCGCCAGTCGCCGAAAAAAATGATTTGACAGTCTACCCGCTAGGGTTTTGGCAGATGAACTAAGCAATATGGAAAGTGAAGAACCTCACGAAGTAGTTATTCGAACGTCACCAAGATTAACTTATTACCCTCGAAGACTGTTTCGTACAGTTCCTCCGATAGTCGAATTGCTGCAAACTTTCGTTACCAATATAGGTAACATTATTAGTGCATTGCTGTGCGTCCGCGTGTGTGCTTTGAGTAGTAGTGTGAGCGTTTTTATGCACGAACTTAGGAAGGGACATGACCCCATTTATGATTGGTTGTTACGGTGATTGATAGAGTACTCCATTCGTGGTAAGATTGTCCAACATCCGGATAGTGTTTGAGCTTGACCTCTCCTATCCGCACTCCTTGATTTATGATGCCTTGTTTCTCCAGTTGGTGCCGCTGTCTGATCCATTTGTATGGTGCTCGGCTGCGTTTGCATTATCGAATCGCGTTCGTGTTCCCTTGCTCGTGAAGGTGCATAGATTGGATCGAGTTCAACAGGTTGGCTGAAATAGTTCCTGTGGTCAGAGGAATTTCTTTGCGTGGTAGGTAACTAAATGTTGGCAAAGTTTATTCAGCTGTCAAAATATGAGGCTAGATTTAACTCGACGAACCGGATCAGATTTCTCCGGGCGGTTACTTATTCGATATAAAATCGTTCAGTTGATGCCCAGCTGCCGTACCACACGAAGGAGGCACGAGGGCTGGGATACTGCCAGGTCACCTAAGTATAGACAGGGGAAGTCGAGAGGCGGAGGTCAGGTTCGAACCACGGACCTTTCGATCAGTGAATTCGCACTCTAACCACTTGGTTCAACTCATCCCATTCGACATAAATACAGCCCGACCATATCAACTTGGTTTTGATGGGCTGCTCATCTGGAACGGAACCCAGCTGAAACTCTCGTTTATGATGTTCTTAGGCGACCGGATGTACAGCACCAGGCCGGTATGGTAGTTGAGATATCGTAATATATCGTATATTCATGGGGCTGCTAAAAATTCTTCAACCGCCCTGGAACCTAGCTAAATCTCTTCTTTATCATGTTCTTAAATCGAGCCGCTCGTGTTACTAGGGAAAAAAAGAATAACTGTATCACACAGGACTGTTGCCTATTCCATGATTCATCGATTTTTGCATCCAACTGGTTAAGGTAGTCGAGCTCAC